AACTAAACTAACTGTGTACTCATTACGTAACTAACTAACTAACTAACTAACTGTGTACTCATTATGTAACTATGTACTCATTATGTAAGTAACTATTTAACTGTTATGTAATGACTGTAATGCATTACCTACTAAACAATTTCTCATTATGTAAACATCTAGTCAACAAACCACTCTTTCAGCAGTTTGCATTCAAAGCAGTTATGATGAACTACAGTACATGCATGTGTTCTTACACCCCAAGCATTTAGCATAAGTTGAATAGGCTCTTTTTTAGAGAACAAGTCCATTCACCCTTGATGTGGCCTCACTAAATGTTGTGTTTGACCCTCAGTTTGTCCTTCTGACAGCCATCCAGAATCACAGTCTATTAGTACGCAAGGCAGTTTGCTCATTTGGTGACAGGCTTGGTTCAATATCAATGCAAATCCTCTCCAGATTCAAATCGAAGCAGAGCCTTGAAAAGCTGTCAGAGTCCTAAATAAAGTAGAGTAGATTCCTTTCATACACACACTTTCTCACTGAGCCTGTGACGGGTGCCCCCAAACCCAATTTAAAAGGTCCATTAAAACGTGGCCAGTCATTTTTATTCGCCTTTCAAGGTACGTCACACATGGTTAGCGTGTGCGGGTGCTTGTGTGAGGGTGAGTGTGCGGCCATGTCCCCTCAGAATCACAGGTCGTTAACCATGATGATGATGCAATAGAAGTTAATACTACACAACAAGTTGCAATCAGACATGTCCCTGCGTGTCATGATAAATGTGTGGCTGATTCCCCTCCCAGCACTGGACTGAAGCCGATCTACCAACGTGCCACAAACAATCATGGGAAATGTAGTTTGAAACTCCAATTATTAGCCCTAATCTTTTCACTTACTGTCGCGGCTGGTCAAAGTGATTGAATTCGCTAGCACAGGCCTCCGTTTCTTTTTCCTGATGCAAAGTGATTTATTACGCTCGACGATGGCGATTTGTCAGACGCCATCACTGTAAACTTCATTTTGCCCTTTGCATGACTGCATGGTCTTTTCAGGGATTGATTAGCTAGGCCTTAACAAGGACATGTTGTGTTATGACATTGGCTCCCTTGGTTAAACAGCTGGACCCTAGAGGCATCATTAATAGCAGATTCAGGCTAAATCTGACCTACAAAAGTGTGTGGAATGGAGTGCTTTGAGTCCAGGAGCTGCAAGAAGCTGAAATATATACTAGTTTTCGAAATTTTAATCAGGGGAGTACAGTATTTTTTGGAAACATGAAAATGATCACATATTTATGCAATAAAACAATGCTATGATGTGAGATATTGACACTGGTGAGCTGCGAACACAGGCACGAGGTCAAAGGCCAACAAAACAGTGCCGGTATCTTACAGTACAGCACGACCTTGAGTGTATTATTGCATTTATACCACCATTGATTATACCATTCAGTCAAAACAACCATGAATTCTATATAGAACCATTTGCATGCTTGAATGGTTCTTTACATGGTGAAATGGCTTCTCAGATTGATGGAGAATCTGTCATATCTGGTTCTATATAGCACCAAAAAGTGTTCTACTGTTACAAGCTTGACTTCATAACAATAGTAGAAAATGTTTTGTTCAGCTTGATAGAGAATGTGTTGTACATGGTTCTCTATCAATCTGAAGACCCATTTCACCATGCAAAGAACCATTTAAACATGCAGTGGTTCTATATAGAACTCATGGCTCTAAATAGAACCATTGCCTTTACTAAAGAACCCTTGAAGAACCATTTTTTAGGTGTGTAGTTTGACCGTGGTTTGATGAGAGGCAGCTGGCTTAACTGCAGTATTTAAGGTGGATCATCAGCGTGACGTCAAAAATAGAAAAAGGGTGTCAGAAGTAGAAAGACAACCAAGGGAGTTACCTTAAAGATACAGGATTCTGGGTAAAAAGGCATGGGAAAGATGTCCAAATTGAAATATTTGAATTAATTTGACTGTAGTTTATGCTATTGTAAGCACAGGAAATTTGAAAAAATGACAATACCAGTGTTAAAATGAATGAGTTTTTATACAATAGCCTATCACACTACTGAAATAAACCAAAATCCACTTTATTATTCAACTTTGTTATCATTATTATTGATATCATCAGCATCTCAACTGCAGACAGGAAGAGACTTGACAGACTCATTAAGAGGGCCAGCTCTGGGCTGGGAAGCCCCCCCAGACTCAATGCAGGTGGTAGGACAGCTCCCACCCCATGCATGACACCCTGACAGCACTGGGCAGCTTCTTCACAATGAACAAGGTTAATTATCTTATCTTATCTTATCTTATCTTATCTTACCTTATTATCATCATTATTATTGTAATTAGTAGTATTATTAGTGTTAATATAAATGATTATGAGCTATATAAGGCTATATAAGTACATTGTGGGGGTGTCATAAAAATATGTCATGAAAAAATGGGCTCCCAAAGTAGACAAGCTGCAAACAGGTTGTTGGTGAATGACTTTTAAGAGGAGATTTTGGATGGATGGATTTTGGATGGATGACCATTGACGTTATTAAGCGGTCAGTCAAACAACAGACTTCTTAAAACAGTTTTTTGGATGTCCACTGACGTCCTTTCTTCACTGTCATGTGGGGTGACCGGTAGCCCAGTGATAATAAAGGTGAGCCAGCAGCCGAGTTCAAATCCCAGGCTGACTGGGTACACCTGCTTGTGCCCATGGGTAAGGCATGTAACCCCTCATTGCTCCAGGAGGTGGAGCTCTGCTGGTGACACTGTGCTGCCCCATGATTGACCATAGATAGGCAGCAGAATGTAAAGTACCCCTCGTAGCACCAATAAAACACATAATACAATAAAAAGCAGCAGCTCGTGAGCCAGTGACTGCACTGGTAGGCGGAGTTTGAGGTTGAGCAGTGTGAGCACTGCCCCCCTACTGACCAAACTTTCTAGTGTTAAAATTACGACCACTGGAAAGAATAAAATGTGAAAAAAAACAAAAACGTCTTAGTGTTTTTAAGATGTGAGAATAATATGATTCTGTAGTGTCATTATTTTCCTAAAATAACATATAAACGCTGTGTTATTGCAGTGTATGAGATGCTTCTGCACTAGCCGTGTTTTGTGTTGTTTATTTTGTGGGCGGAGTCAGTAGTATAAGACAAAAGCACAGTGTAATATGTCTATAAATGGTATATTGAATAGTTGCGCCATCTGTTTATACCAATGCACATGCAAAATCAGTGCATGCACAGTGGTATAAACCAATATTGGTGTATTGGTATAAATGAACAAGAGCAACAAGCAACAAGAGCAACGAGGTACTCACACAAATTATTAGTATTATTAGTATCAGTATAGTATTATTGTAATTTTCTACTTTGACTCTTATTATTGGTTTTATACTGATTGCTAATATTATTATATACTGATAGCTGTTTCCTCCTTAACCATCATACCAGACTCATGTATGTTTGCTCTTGCTTTCTTTCTTCCTTCTTTCCTTTCCTATCTTATTTCTTCTTCTCTTTCACTCCCCCCCTCCTTTATCTCTCTCCTCCATCTGTCTCAGATGTAAAATGCATAAGCCCATAAACAGAGGCCCTGTCACTGTAGGGAAGCCCGACAGGAGCTCTGATATTTCCCAAAACTTCCGAGGTGACTCACGCACTGGTTTCAGCAGGGGCATTCTGCTGCTTTGCTCAGACAGAGTGTTCCACTTTCCCCCGCACAAGACTCCCCCCGTCCTGCTCATTTGCATCGCTTGCATAACCACAGTGGCTGCCCTGTTTTTGGCATTAATTATTGCTAAAGCCGTGCTTAATAAAGTCGCCTCAGCCCGAAATAGGGCAGTTACATCTAGCCGACTGTTTGCGGGGCACTTTTTCATAAACAGAGCTGACGTTAATTAAGCAAGTGTAGAAAATGGATGTTTTGTTATGGAAGCACTGAAAGAAGTGTTGATCTGATTGAGTGAAATGAACCTGTCATGCAGTCAGTTCATTTTTCAGAGCCAGGTGATCAGGGGGGCAAATTTGGTTGGACAAATGTGGTGGGGGGCGGGGTGCGTATAGTTACACTTATCATATTGAAATCTCATGCTTTATATGTCAATATTAACAAACAAGAAAGAAGTAGTTCTTTCTTCACTGGAATTGGCCTTGTTTAGTCTTTCAAAAGCCACGTTCAAAAAATTGTCTATTTTTCTGACAGTCTGTTTTGGCCGTAGAGTTACAGTCGTATGCAAAAGTTTGCCAAATCACATTTTGTTGATTTCTGACAATAAAAACTGCTGTTTAGTCACTATTTATTTTCTGAGTTTAATATATTGGGAAAAAAGAACACATTAAATGTTGCCTATGCAAAAGTTGAGGCACATTTTATACCAATTAGCATTGTGCTAACATGCGACTCTTTTACTGCCCTGTTGTGGCTCCACAGCAGAGTTAGAATAAAATAATTAAAGCAGAATTAAAAGTAAAATAATCCTCCTTTACAGTAAAATAAAACTCTGCTGATCATTTTAACACAGTTTAAGAATAAATGGTCTTAAACGCTGGAGTTAATGTAGCCTATATCTGCTAATTCACCAGCCTTTAACCCTGAAATGCAGAAAACAGTCTTGCCTAGCTGGTAGCTAATGAAAAGGCAAAGAGGAAGCTCTAAATTGGACATCGATCATTTGGAGACAAGTGGACTTATTTGCATTCATAATCACTCCAGCCTTCCTGATACGTTTAATCTGCAATGAGAAACTGACAAACGAAGCTGAAGTCGACTTCCCTTTCTCCAGCTTCACTTTTGAATTTTCCCATTCCACCTTAGATCATGCAGCAGTTACATTGGCACCTCAGGCACCATTTAAGGTGGAATGGGAAAAACAAGAAGCTGGCGAATGAGAAGCGACTTCAGCCTCGTAAAAAATTGAATGTTGAGAGACATTTTACAAGAAAATATTCTTCTTCTGTTTCCTGCTGGAGATGTGAGAAAAGTGGCTATAACTGTGATAAAGCTTGAAGCAGAGCAAAGTAAGTTTTCGTTTATATTTTTTACCCTATACTTGTACATCAGCACATACTGAGACATATGTATAGCCAAGATGGTAAAATGGACATAAAATGTTGCTTCTTAACATTTGAGTTGCTGACCTCTAAGCCAAATCACCACTCACTTGCTTTATGTATTCTTAAATAGACTTGCTTACGTAGTTTGTGACACTGTCAATGGATAAAAATGCATTGCATGGCTCAAAACAGCAGTAGCTCTATCTGGAAGCCTGAGCTTTCTTGTACTTCTGTCCATTTTTCTAGTACTGGAAATTAGAAAAAAATACAATACTAGTAATAAAATGTTAAAATTAAAATTACACTTTTTATACAATAACCTATCACACTACTGGGAATGAACCACTTTAATTAATCAATCTGCATCAATCTAGTATTATCATCAGCCAACTTTATTACCACCATCATTATTATTATCATTCATTTTATTAGTAGTATTATTAGTGTTCTAAGTGATTGTGAGCCATATAAGACTATATAAGTACATTATATGGTGTCAGAAAAATGCATCATGAAAAAATGGGCTCCCATTGGGAAAATAGAAAACTAAATGTGGCCTGTGCGAAAGTTGAGGCACATTTTAAACACAGTGTGCTAACTGTCTGAATCGTCACCCACTTCGCTTTGTGTATTCTCAAATAGACTTGTTTGTTTGGTATCCAACATTGACAATGGATAAAAGTGCTCAAAACAGTAGCAGCAGCTATCTAGAAGCCTGGGTTTGTCCAGTTCTGTAGATAACAGTATGACATTTTTACAAAAATCGATGCAGTTTAACTCAAAAGTGATGATTTAGCCATGCATGCTCATTAGCTACATTAACATTTGAGCTCCGGCTCAAAACTGAAGAAGCGAACTTCAGACACCTTGGCTGCTCGGCTATATTTAGTGTTAAGACAAACTTTGTCCATCTGATTTTTTGCTGAACAATTCCTTAAAAGTTTAGTGAACCATGGGGGTCAGTCACTCCCCTTCCACATTTCTCCTGTAAAGAGGGCTGTAGTTGTGATAGAGCCGCCGCACTGCACTGCTTTGTGTTTTCTCCACTCTAACACAATCGGATTGAACCCATGGGAGCTTTCTAATTGACTGATGAGCTGAAACGTGTCTGTTAGAGCAGGAGGACTGAAAACTGCACAGCAATCTGTCCCTCGGGACTGACGGGAGCCTTTAACAATGCTCTACCTGACACAGGAGAGGCAGAATGAGGAACTCCAGAATGGTTATTTAGTGATTTTTTTGTCTGCTACAAATGAGCAGCAGTGTTCTGAATGAAGGAGGCCAGGTTAGAATATCTTCTGCCCACTGAGTCAAGCTCAGAATGATTGGAATGAAAGTCCTGGAAGTCCTGGAGAGGTTTGGGAAGCCTGAAGGTGTGAGTATCATTCCAAAGTTTCCAATACTGAAGCCAGTATAATACCTAGACTTCAGTACCGATTCCTGAACGATAGTGGAGAGCGGGACACCAACAAACTAGGAAGGGAGAAATGAAGTTAACCTGGTTCCAGTACAACAAGCTATGGGTCATCGTCTCAGGTTACCATAGCAACATCATTTTGAATTTTGTCAGCAGTTTTTTCGTACAGTTTTTTCTAGTCATGTTTTTGTTTACTGATTTGTATATAAGTCGCAGAATTGACACCTGCAGTCATATGAAAAGTTTGAACACCCCCGGTCAAATGACATGTAAGTAAAAACAAGTGAACACATCCTCTACAGAGAACACACTTAAATATGCCATTTTTATGCAAATTTTAGTATACATTTCTGTTTATTTCACGCACAAAATGTCACCTAACCAGGGGAAATGCAACCAACTTCTAAGACTGAACTTTGGAGGTGTGGAAAAATGTCCCTGCAGATTTCTTTGAGAAACTGAAAACAACTGTTCAGTTTGACCAGATAACAAAGAAATCAGGGTGAATTCTTGAAATGTGCTTGAAATACATTCACTTGAAATTGTCAAATATAAAATAATTAAAATATATTTAATATTTAAATGTAATGTTAATATCTTTTAACGATGAATCCTAATTAAAACGGTACATCATATTGTAATATTGAAATTAATCATTTAAATTACAATTAAATATTTGAAATTCTAAAATACAAATACATTTTGATTTCATTGTAATATTAAAAGAAATTATATATATATATTTGAAATTAAATTTAACGTAATAGTTAAAATATTCAAATATTACAATTTTATATTAATATATTTTAATAACAATAATCATAATTTTAATTATGATTAATTATGTTGAGGCATTTTTTCCTGAATGAAAAATGAGCAACTTGTACTTTATTGCTGTTTTGACTGTAAATTGAAAAAGTGGTCTCTGACTTTGGCACAGTGTAGTATATGTGCATGTGTAGGCAGGGCTGTTTTGCTGCAGTTCAGAGATCAGGTTCATGCTTATTAGAGGTTGCCATGGAGACACAGTGTTGACTCAATGACTTTCAGCATCATTTGCACCTTGTCTTGGCAGTCGTGTAAGTTTCAGTGTGTGTGTGTGTGTGTGTGTGTGTGTGTGTGTGTGTGTGTTTTAAAAGCTAGTTGAAAGGATTGCTTGTCATTTCACACCTGTGTGTGTGTGTGTGTGTGTGTGTGTGTGTGTGTGTGTGTGTGTTTGCACGCTGTCAAATTATGAATGATGTGACAATCCTGTGAGTGTTTGTTCCTCCAAGTACACAGCAGGACTTTCCTGAACAGCGTGTCAAAAAGATGATGTCATTACGACGCAAACGTGGCATGACCACGTAAAGTTTACTTTGTTTATATTTGCAGACGTTTTACTCTGAGTAGACTGAATAGGAAGTGTCTGCATTCCATGTTAGTAAAGCCTTTCAGAGTGGTTTGGTGTGAAATGCTCCGCTCTAGAGAAACACGGTCAGTATTGTTCACAGTGGTGGTGATGGGAACCAGACGTCTGAACCAGAACCAGACGTCTGAGGAGTTTAATGCCTCTAAATGGTCCCTCACAGAAAGTCAGTACATGAAATCGTTTGAAATACACTTTTTCATTTTATGATAGTTTTTAGATAAGATTTTGTCCCAAACTGTATTTTCATATACATTCACAGTACAGAGGTACATGCGGGGTGTGATCCCAGATCGCAGACATATATCAGTCTACTAGCTTGAGTGCACTATGCTGACTGTTTTCCACTGCTGGACCACCCAGATTACAATCCTGCATACAAGGCCTAACTAGTTAGAATCTCCTCAAACAGATTTAAAATGTGCACAGTTTTTTATTTTTGGACAATAAACTAATAAATATTACAAACAGCTGAGAGAAAAAGAATAATGACTAGGCCTTTTTGTTAAAAATTTTGACACTAAACTAATTTACAAATGATGTGGAAAGAAAGAAATGAAGGAAAAATGAAGAAATTGGACTGTGAGAGGAGAATGAGCACTGAAATGTGGCATTTTGTCTAATATTCTGGTGTGTAACCAATGGGCCATCCAGAAAATGCTGAGCATAAAGCCAGAGAGCCACCGGCTTGGCCCACTTACCATCTGGGATAAGCCAACATAGTCCCCAAAGAAACTTATTTTTTTTCTACCATCAACAACATTACATATAAAAACTTCACTGTTTTTTTTTTTTTTGGAAAGTAAATAAAATGTCTATATTTGTGTTGTAGTGACTCCTGGTTCCTATCACCACCACTGTAAAGAAATCTGAGTCTGTCTGAACTACAATGAACCATTTCACATCAAACCAATCTGAATGACTCTGTTTACATCTGGTGGATCATTCTCATCAAATGTGGTTTGGGTCACTTGGATTTGAGAAGTATATATATATCTCCAACCAAGAGCAGCTGTGTGGTCAGAAACACCACTGATGACCATTGTGCATCAACAGATGAGCTGTACACCAGCAAGCTGGAGCTATAAGAGAGTGGCTACTAAGTGGATTTAGACAATTTTGTCTTTGCATAGAAATGTATGATATTTTCTTCGCCTTTACATCAGAGTGTAAGTCATTGGAACATTCCACTAATGAAGCTATTTAACTTATAGCACTGCTGCCTCAGGGGCAAGAAAATAGGACAATACAAACCTTCCGCTTGTCAAAACACAGTAATCCTGAGAGACGGAACGAGAATGCGAGGTTCAGCTTTTTTATTTGTTTGTTTTTTAGGCCCAACATTTCTCTCTGGAGCCGAATAATGTTACTCAGTCCATTACAGCCATCATCCACTTACTGCCTTCAGTCAGCGTCAACGTACCACTGTGCACAATTAACACACATGTACTAATGCATCAATGCTGGATTTACACTGAAACGTCAAAATGAGATGTAACTGTTCGCTGCAGTAGAATTCAGGGCTTGTGAGAGAGAGAGAGAGAGAGAGAGAGAGAGAGAGAGAGAGAGAGAGACTGACTGACTTCTGGATACTCCTCTGCTGTATGATCCTTGCACGTGTACATGTGATGTATGTGTGCATTTGCATCCTCCCACACTAAGTGATGCTTCCCAGTGTGTGTATGCATACATATTGTATAATACATAGATAGGAGAAAGTCAAGCTTCACAGGTGTTTCTGTCCATCTGTCCACTGTTCACCCTGAAAGGATGTGTAGCTGTCAAGAAGCCTCACTGAGAAGAGGAAATAGCCAAAAAAACCAAGATCAACTGCACTCAAACGCTGAAACGGGTCATCTGAGATGTGAAGTAATGTCTACGTACGGAGTCTAAATTTGTAAATTGGGATCGCTTGGATCTTGTAAGTCAGGAAATTCAACCAACTTCTAAGACTGAACTTTGGAGGGGTGGAAAAACATCCCTGCAGATTAGAGTTCTTTGAAAAACTGAAATTAAGTCTCCTGAAAAGAATGGAAGCTAAAGGTAATAAAGGTAAAGAGGGGACAAAAGATTGACATCATATTTCGTTGTTGAAGGCTTCGTGTTTGTTTCTGTTAAAAATACACAGCCGAAATATTATGACCACCTG